AGATAACCAAATCTAGTGTTCTATGATTCTGGTCTGGCCTTTTGGCTGAGCGGTTATGCACCTATCTCTTGCATAGTGTAGAATGGCGCCCTTTGTCCTGAATATCACCTCTTTGAACCATGTCTCCGCCCTGATGTCTACATGCTGCTCTGTTGCAGTATCATGGACATCGAAAATTTTATGAATGATCTCCTACAAGCACTAGGAGATGCGCTGAAGATCGCAGGGGAAGTCCCAGCAATCGAAAGCGGAAAAACTGGGCTATGGTGGGCTGATGAATGTCGCACAGAATGGCAAGAGTACAAGGCAGCGAGAGACAACCCGGACTTCGCGAAAGAGGCCCGCAAGAGCTTTAGAGCTGTGGTGCGAAAAGCCAAGCGAAAGTACTGGAAGAGGCAAGTGGAGGCAGTGACTACTGATGCACAGGTGTTCAAGCTCATACGATGGCCTAAACCTCGACCAGCTGCTGAGCCCCTTCCTCTGCAGATTGACGAAAACCGGTGGCTATCTGAGCCGCGAGAGCGAGCTAGTGCGCTTCGAGACATTCTCTTGGCAAGGTTCAGCGGCGAGAACGACATCCCAACCTGGAATAATGGACAGGAGGAGCGCAACTCATGGGATACGAAAATGTCACTTGATGATGTGACCAACGCTACCGTCTCTGTCAATGATACGACACCAGGCGCTGACAAGATAAGGGCACGTCTACTTAAAGCCTGTTGGTCCCATCTAGGACCTCTGGTTAAGGATCTCTACTAGGCCTGTCTGAATATCGGCCACTTTCCCACGGCTTTCAGGGTAGCAGAGGTTGTGCTTCTTCCAAAACTGGGTCGAAATCTATCAACTGCCAAGGGCTGGCGACTGATTTCGCTGCTTTCGAGTTTAGGCAAAGGACTTGAACGTTTAGTTGGTGTTGAAGAGTATGATGTTATGGTAGACCAGTAGGCTAACTACATTCGGCTTAGTCTCATACGCTACGGACGAAATGGGGTTCCCTAGAATTTAGCTAGCTTTATAGACTGTTAGAGACAATATCAATCAATATCATTATATACATATACGACTATTTACATAGAGTACTATTGAACATCACCCTGCCGTTTAACAGTTGGCAAGAGAATGGCGTGGTGGACGATAAGTCACCAAGTGGTTCACCCTCAATTATTCGGCTCTGTACCAGGACGATCTGCAGTTGACTTTGCATCCTGTGTAATCCACAATGCTGAGGCGGCCATGAGAAATGGTAAGTGTGCGGCTATGGTCACACTTGACATCCAAAGTGCCTCTGACGCAGTTCTTCACAACCGACTGCTCAAACGCCTTCGAGAATAAGGCTGGCCACTATCCTTGTGCCGCTTTATTCAGACTTTTCTTTGCCAACGAAAGGTGAAGATAAAATACCGTGGCAGAACTACCGAGGAAGAGATACTGGAATGTGGAGTACCTCAGGGCTCGCCACTATCGCCATTACTCTTTATGCTACATGTCGCAGCGTTATTTCAGGACCATTTTCTTACGAGCAGGTTTGGCTATGCTGATGATATGGTGTTGGAAATGGAGACACGGAGTTGTTGAAATTGGCGCTACTTGGCAATGAAGAGTCGCATTAATACGGAACCTCATAAGGTTCTATTATTACTAGCCACATTCATGACGACTCATACATTGACCAGCCTCCCAATTATTTCGCATAAACAAGTGAATCGTGTCCTTCACTTAGATGTAGTAATTAGTTTAAATAGCGCTCTGATACTAAGTGGGTTTAATCAACAACTCTCCACTATAGTTTTCAGGCTCTTCAATCTCCCAACTCGCTTCACTAGGTGATATTAAATACAAGCCTAACAGCTTACGCTTCTCTATACAACTTCCATTACAACAGGAGTGTTGTGGACGTAGGGGCCCACCATTCCGTCTAGGTTCCCGACACGATCTTGAGTGTATTCATGAGGCTGGAATGGGTATTATGGTAGCGCTTCAGGCTACCTCTTGGACATATGAGCGGCTGTATGGCGTGGGCGCTAGGAGATTATTGAGGGGTTTTCTATGCCTAGATGGTGCCACATTCGTTTATGTTGTGGCTTAGGCTCTGTGTTGCTTACACTTGTACTTGTAGCGCACATCTCCCACACTTTTAGCTCCATCCGAATTTGACACTCTTTTAGTCAACTTCTACTTTCGTTCCATGAATATTGCACCCATTTCATTGCGCGATATTTCCAACATATGGTCATCATCAGAACTGGAAAAACTGCGGCTGAAGCCATCTCCGCAGTACAAGAAGACGTCGACAGCCTCATCCTTTTCGCCAGAGAACATAGGATCGAGTTTGACCCAGCAAAATCCGAGCTTCTAGTGACCCGAGGGGGACTTAGAAATAAAATCAACACGGTTGGACTTTGTTGCGAAACTAACCTAGACACTCCCCGTGCTTGTGGTTTCAGTATGTGTCCATCAAGATTGTCGGGTGTTGCCTATCCGCTACTAGTTACACCATCATCTTTGTTAAGTCTGATATTCGAGACTGCGACGAGAATATGCGTAACTGGTATCAGATCCGTAGTTTGTTCCGCTGTATCCCGTAATGAGGCATTACACTCTGGCCCATGTCATTGCCAGACATCAATGTATATAGACAGTCTCATATCCTTTAGTAAAGATCAAGAGTTTCGATCAAGCCCTTACTATAAACATAATTCACATCTACGGATACCCTTTGAAGTATATACTTCGTTATTTCTCCGTGATCACTCGAAGAGTTCCGCATATTCTTAGTTAATTTTCAACAGACTTTCAATCATGGTGAGAGATCGTCGAATCGAACCAGCACCGCACATCTAGTGGCTAGGAATCTGGCTTGATACTCAGCTGAACTTCAAGCAACATGTACAGGAATGGACTGGAAAAGCTAACCGTCTAGTCCACTTCTTACGACATTTGAACAGCGTTCAACACGGTGCAGCTCCCGGACCTCTAATTTGTGCGGTACATGCAGGCGTTCTGAGTACGGCTCTATATGGGGCAGAAGCGTGGTGGCCTGGTCTCACTCGAATAACCTCGCTGCGAGATAAAGAAGTCGGCACTGGCGTAGGCTGGCACATATCTCTGCTAGACAAAACGATAATGAAAGCTATCCGAGTAGCACTCCCAATAGCCCTCTTTACCTTGAAGCGGGAGTACCCCCAGCATCCATCATCCTCCAGCAAAAGAAGCTGCGATCTGCAGCCCGCATGCGAAGAATGGATATGTGGCATTCTCTAGTCCTCCGGGTAGCTGAGGACCCGAAAGAGACAATAAGATGCTTAGGTTGTAGATCGGGACAAAGAAATCGCTTGTTCAGAAAATTAGAACGGTACATGATACGCCTGCAAATGAGCGTGCGTTAAGTTCCGACAGCCAAGGCCCTGGAAAGCTACACTTCCCACGCGGCACCCCAGCATCGACTCCATGTATTTGAGAAAATAAAGCAAGGTCTGGAAGCATAAAGCGATAGTTAGCTTCCTGTCCAGCTTACACAGCCTGCGTTTTCTCTGATGGATCATCATCAGGTCCCAAAAAATCATACTGGGGGTATATGGTATTCCAAGGAGGCAAGCTAGTTGGAAGTAGTTCCGGTCCACTTCCCGGAGCAGAGGTATTCGACGCGGAAGTTGTAGGTGCCACAAAAGCCTTGGAGGCTGCACTAACAGTGGGAGAAGACCTACCGATTCGCATTCTTCTGGACAATCAAGCGGCTTCTCGGGCGCTCAAAAGAGGAAGATCTAGTTCCTCGCAGGCAGTGGTGGACAAGTTTTCACTGCTGAGACAAAACAAGCGTGTGGAAATACGCTGGATAGCTGGTCATGTCGGAATCAAAGGCAATGAAGAGGCCGATGAGCTGGCCAAATCGGCCTTGACATATCTCAACAAATGGTCACTAACCACAGCTATGCTCAGTGGAGAATCTCGAAATTTAACCTTTGCGGCACTAGGGAGACAAGTAAAAATGCGGGGTCAAGAACTCGTGGAAGAGTGGTGGCAGAAGTTCGGCCGGAACGATACAAAGATCTGGACCTGTTCATGCGCTTCAAACAGCCACCGGAACTGACTCTACTAAGATGTGCGTACCACTGTCTAATTGCGGCAAGAACAGGCCACGGAGACTACGCCAACTACCATCGACGTCTCAACACCGAACATGAAGATCTGAAATGCGTTTGCGACCGAGAGAAAAGGCCCTGGCATTTTTCAGAGTGCCGACCTGCTTTGTAACGTTGGAACAGCTGCGAAAAATTGGGTCCGCCTGGAGCCAAGGAGATGATTGGGGAGAAGGGATGGCAGAAGTTTTTCCAATTCCTAACTATAAGCAGATGCTACAGTCTACCGAAGCCTGAACATGGTAGGAGGTGACCACGCTGAGACGGATTCCATCTCGGGATGGGATCTGCTTGGAAGATAGGGATGCAGCGCAGGGCACTGTAACTCAGGCATTTATTGTTCCTTTTTATTTCCTTTTTTTTCTTTTGTCGCTTCTGGCTTTAATGTCGGTCCTGTAGGTAGCAATGAGCTCTCAGAGCCCATCTACCCGTGTCACGTCTAAATAGATGTTAGGTTCGTCCTGTCACGTTAAATATTTCATATTCAAATTTTGTACCTAGTTTCACTTCGGTAGTTAGTTTGATCAACGTGCTCTACAACCTCAATGACTGAGGGGTCATTATTTACTTGTTATGAAGCTTAATTTGGTATATATTATTATTGATTACTTAGTTCTACATTTATGATTCATTCTACAGACCCTAGTTTAGACCAGGCTATAAATCAAGTCACATGTCTTCTTAAGCTCAGGGACTGATACTTCAACAATTGCGCACCCTGAAAGACAAGTAGGAAGATAAAAGTCCATGATCAGAAAGGTCTGGGGAGTTTTTTAACTGAAAGTTTTCTCTCATGTACACATTTAAGTTCATAGACATCTCTGTGGGCCCATGGGGCTCCAAATCAGGAGTATCAATTCAAATTTAATCATCATATTCATCATCAGCTTCATCATATCCGACATCTTGAAAATTTTCAATATTTCCATCTATAACCGCGCAAGGTGCTACATGCGCTCTGTGTAAATACCCTGTTGTCGGCACATATTGCTTCGCCATAAGTACCATTTTGTAGTTCAAGTTAGAGTCGACGGCAATGCGATTATTTGTTGGATCAGCTAGAGCTTGGTTAGCCTCTGAAGAGTCGGAATTATGACAGGGTTAGTGAGTGAAAAGCTTACCAGGGTTATGCATTCTATTAACAACAGTGCCTAATGGCAGGAGATACCACACTTCGTTTGAACCGGGGGTATATTTAAGCTGCCGGATATGAGGGGTTTCACTAAGACGTATTCGGCGATAAGAATCAATCGTATTTCTCAAATGTTGCGGCCAATAGACGTTTCCGAAACATGTCACCCCCTTATGGAGACCCTGATCGGCACTGGCTAGATTTACAATGGCGAGGGCCACCAACGTCAATACTTTCAGTAGCGTCATTATGGCGGAGATGAGGCCCTTGAACGATAAAGTTTAAGCTTTGTGGCAAAAAAGAAGGTGGGCTGTTAAGGCTTACTGCTGTATTTCTCTGGTCAAATATGTGAAGATCTAGTCTGTGAGGATTGTAGTGTTGGTGATGTTTCCTGGAATAACGAGTGAAGAGTATCGGTACCCTTATAGGCATAGTATTCGGGCCTATTTCCATATTCCATCTATACAGTTAATGCGCATATCCGTAGGAATCTTACATTTAGGAAGCGTGACAAACCATTTTGGTAACATTGTAGCAAGTAAAATGAAGATATCCACACACATGAATTACATGCTTGGCTAAGATGGGCAGGGTGAAAGACTAAGACTGAACGCCTGTCCTCGTTGCATACTACGAACGGGGGAGTGGAATATTCTCCCGGAGCCAAGTTCAGTCAAATTTTGCAAGACCATATGAGTTGGCCCACGAGGCAATGCTTCAAGGCTTTCCTCAAAATCGATCTCTCGCTCTCGATGTCTATTCTCACCAAAGCCTCATCAGTTTCACGAACATGACCTAGTAATTCCTTATTCAAGCTATTACGCCTCCCGATGAATCAGCCTTTGGCCTCAGCTGCTCACGAAATTTACGTCCATGACAATACCCATACCCGCAAGAAGATAAGAATAGTGGCGCACAAGTTGGGAGAAATTTCTCTGAGATGGTCGTGAGGGAGACGAGGACATGTTTTCATGATGATGTAATAGATGGATTCAATATTGACGGGTGTGAACTTTCAAATTTTGGCCAAGAGTTTTACAAACTTAAGAGCATTGCACACGCCAATACTCGATTGCGAGAGAGTATCTGATACTTTAACTACGTGCCAACGATGGAAGTTACCGTGACCTGGCTTCTAGTGGTAATCTCCAGCATGGTTTGGGCGGCCTAGGAACATACTGTTGTAATGTGCGGTCTATGAGGATTGCCCTGGAGTGGCAGCTGTGTTGGGTAGTATTCAGTGCACGGACACCTCAACCTTCTATCTAGGAAATTCTTCTCATTTTATCTATATAGTCTTCAATGCACAACAATCAGACCACAAGTTTATCACATCCTGCACACAGTGGGCCAAACAGGAGCTTCGGCCCATTGACTACCGTTAGCTCATAATCAGAACACCTACTTCACTTAAATAGGAGAAGCATCAGACCACATATTGCACGGACTCTGCTCAATAGAAGATGGGGGCATTTCGAGATAAGTATAGGTTTTTCGAGGGTCGTCCCTGGGTGAGTTTCATGGATGAGGGCTGACTTGGATTGAAGAAAATTCCACAACTTGGCAGTGGTGCCTGCAAATGAAATCCGAGGCACGAGTGCTCCAATTTGAAATCTAGACATTCAAACTGTACCTTATCCCTGAATTTTGCCATGGCTACATAGCTGAAAACACTAGTTAAATTTGATGCAAAAAGAGCGCTAGTATGGTGATTGACTGTTATTTTGACTGACCCAGACACAAGCCCTGCATCTAATTTGACCTGACACGCCTAACTGATGCCGAAAGACCCAATACTACCGAGATTACCAATTCGATGTGAACAGAGACAAAGCATGAAAAGTACAATTTCTAGGTCTGGCGCCCTATGTCATGCAGAGACATGATTCATCCATTGTCATAACAATCATGACTAACTCTTAGTGATAGGAGAAGCATGATTGAGCAGTTACTAGAAACCTAGTCAAGATCCCTAACTGACAACTGAGACTAGGAGAATTTTACGGAATACCTAATTATTCTCGACAATCTAGATCTGTAGGAATACATTCTGGCTGCTTGCCTCTCGCAGTTTGCGAGCCCAAGCGTACCATGTATGATAGAATATACAGAAAATCAATCTCGATCATCGTCCGAATTCATGTCATCATCTATCATAGCTGCAATGTATAGCTCTACAGTTTGCTTATACCCTGCGCCTCGCCTGAACCTCATCATGTTAACTACCAAGAGGTCGATTTCTACATCAACGTCTTGATTCGTTCCAGCCGCTGCCACAATGACCAAAGTCGTTTTCTCATATCTACACCCATCGAAGGAAACTTGGTGTGTACTTTAAATATTCGTTTGCACTATTCGAAATCGTAGCCTCGGCGCCTACGAGCACCCCATAGTCGAAAACACTCGAAACATGGGAGTCCCAGAATGTCTATTTTGTGACCTCTCATTCTTTTTCCCACGTCCTAGCTACCTGTCCCTCACCCCCCAAGTTGTATTGCGCCATGAGAGCAAAAGTCCCCCAAAGACCAAGATCCAAGCTTTGTATTTTATGACTTTGTTTCCATCTTGCAAGTATACATAGCATCGTGACTTTACAGTGAAATATGGTTGATTTTTGCCGAAACAACTTCTCGTTTGCAATTAGTGCGACTGATTATTCAATCGTTGAGACGGGTTGATTTGTAGCATGAGCAGGTTGAAGGACGCACGCGAGAGAGATAGTGCTGACATTGATTAGAGTTATTGGTATAGAGATATGCTTTGGAATGCTTTCAACTTCGACTTGAATGCAATTCTCCTTGTCGCCGTATCAATCGATGTTGGTATATAGCAGAACAGGTCCAGAATAAAATCCAGAGACGGAAGGTGTTTTACATCTTGCTATCTACATAAGGGATTGTTATTAACGATGCCGATCATAACAGTCTCCCTAGCCAAGCAGCCGTATCCTATATATACCCTTGATAGTGACTATGGCTGACTAGAAGCTAGATTCCATCACTACCGCACTGGCGCAGACAGTACACACACAAGCGAGTAATCCCGTAACACTCCTTGGCTATTCCAGATATGCAGAGCATTGTGTGCCACTACACCGGCACCGCAGAAAGGCGAAGTATTTGTTTTTGCTAGCTAGCTATTCTGTTGGATCAGATTTGAATGCTATCTGCATCAGGCTCACGATCTACACCCAAGAGGCGTGATATGGGTGTTTGATGTTGAAAGACTCACTACTACCTATCTGCATGGCCTTATTTGTCAGGAGAACTAAAAAATCGAATCAGGAAAAACAATACAGTGAATCCGGACGAAGGCGTCCTGCATCCTGTACTATTGTTTGTTTGTTTATTCCATTTATATCCTGTCTAAGTCTAAGACTATTGTAGGATGTACCCTGTACTATTCTTCTCAGCAATAAAGTAACAGAATAAAACTATCACCCCAAGAATGCCTCCACACCCCGACCTAAGGTCTTACTACTCTGAAATTTCCTAATGGCAATTAATTCAAGGATTTTCTCTTGTCATATTCCCCCAACATCTCGCTAGTCCTTGGGGGGGCTTTGTTTTACTTGGACTATGAGATGGGGAAGATGTTATAATCTGCCAAGAGATCCCAGATCTGTGCAGATTTATGCATGCCAATATTTCATGCAAGTCCAAGGACTTGGACTTGAGGGCAACCCATAATTAGGGCATCATAGATTTGAAATGGAATGGTATGGAATAGAATGATGAGGGATCGAATAGTGTAGAGTAGAATGGAATGGAATGTACTGGATAGTGCAGGAACTGTGATATGGCTATCCAGGACATGTATGTTATGAGATGTATCTCCTAGCAGTAGGAGTAAGCAAAAGTCATCTGAATACAAGCGTTCCTCAGTTAACACAAGTCTTTTCTACATCTACGTTTGCGTTCTACGAACACATATAGCATCCTTCCAAGGTAGAGATTCAACCCGTATGTGCTCATCATCTTAACAGAAGATTCATTGCCATGACTGCTGAGGTTGTGCAAATGTAAGTGTATGATGTGTTCGTTGGCAATATGGCGCAATGAAATGGGCGCAGTATTCATGGAACAAAAGTAGAAGCTGACTAGAATGTGTCATGTTCGGATTACGGCTAGAGGGGTGGAAAGTGTGCGATACAGGTGAATGTGTCCGGATTAGGTCCTGGTCAACAATGTCTGGCCTAATTGTGCCATGTTGCAGGCTACTGTGACAATTATTCATGGGGTCATCATCAGGGTTGTGAGTAGTTTCGGTTTTGGTGTGGGTTATTGGATTGATACCTAATCGTGTCGCACAGTAGTTAGACATGCGACTCGAGTAGCATATGCATGGTAAACCTCAACCCCAAAACGAGGATACGAATCAAGTTTTATATGCTACGTCCTGTATGGCTAGCGTGCTGGGAATATGGGGAGTTTACCTGTAGATAGATAAAGACGTTGTAACCCTCTGATAGTTGGGACAAGTCTTCTACAATATTATATCGGAATCAATACTAGCCTCTCATCGAGCAATCTCATGAATTACTTCCAATATCTGTCATAACAGACATACATGTACAATGTCGACAACAAGTTTAAAGTCGATAAGAATGTGTAAGCGACACGTAGCCTAAGCCACAGCATAAACGAGTGTGGCGCAATCTAGGCATAGAAAACCCCCAATAATCTCCTAGCGCCCACGCCATACAGCCGCTCATATGTCCAAGAGGTAGCCTGAAGCGCTACCATAATACCCATTCCAGCCTCATGAATACACTCAAGATCGTGTCGGGAACCTAGACGGAATGGTGGGCCCCTACGTGCGCAACACTCTGCGTCTCCGTTTCCAACATGATGTGATGTTTTTTTGTAGTACTCGAGTCTATGACTACCTAACACATTGGGCTCTCTGGCCCAGGCCACACCTTGTACAGTGCTCCCTGCCTCTTTTGTTACTTGAAAGATCATTGCTATATTGTCCGTGATGAATAGCTATTCATCTCATCATTTACCCGTAGAATTCAGCCCCCTCTTCCACAGAACCTTCCTCCCAAAAAGATAAATCGGTAGCAATGGACACTGCGCGTGCGGGAAAAGTCTTAGAGATGCTGCAGCCCTAGCCAGGCAAGGCCTAGACACCGGGACCACATGAGCTGCGCATATTCATCTACATCCCCCCTCTTTGTAACAATTGAGGTCGACTTGATCCAATCCACCATCTCCGTATCGGGTGCCGGGTGCGCTCCGGAAAC